TTTTCTCATTTATGCTTTCGACTGCCAACGACTTCGCATCTTCACTTTTTGTTCGACCGCTTTTGGCTTTTGTTCTCCCAGATTTCAACTTTTGAACAGCGCACAGTGCATTATTTGCTTAACTCCTAGTTAAAAGATTTTCAGTTTCAACTTTACCAAATAACCTTCAGAGTTTAACCCCAAGACATGCCAGTTGAAACGTATTTAAATTTACACTAAAATCTTTTTTCAAATTCTCCTTCAGTTTCAACTTCACCAGATGTCAACCCGTCAAAGCACAATGTATGCATTTGCGCTACTAAAAATATTTCATATTTCAAAACCAGAAAACGTAGTAAGAAGTGAATCAAGGCATTTAAAACGATGCAACCCAGCCATCAATTAAGTGTGGGCAACGACTTGCTCTTAGAGGCGCATTTCAAACTTTTGCAAACCTTAGCTCTGCACAAGACGAGGTCTTACCTTCTGACACAACGTGATCATCTACTGGAGGAGTAGTAAGGAATCTCTTCGGGTAATAGTAAGAAACTCACACAGTCGGTATTGATTTCATAAATTTATTCAATTAATGAACTCTTTGTTTCGTTGAAATTTTGCCTGCAACGGCGCATCCAAGAAAAGCAAGGATGCCCCAAAAATCATCATTTCTTGGATTTTGTCAAAACGCTGGCAACTGCACCTCGTCGCTTGATACTTTTAATCTGTATATAAGTGAAAGGTTGAGGTTGTGTTGAGTAAAATTGAACAACTTTTTGTAACAGAAGATCATTTCTGCCGAACGCAATAATGTCTACAGAATAACCAAATGAAGAACTTTAAGTATAAACTTTCACCAACGAGAACTCTACTAAAAGACTTTCCAACTACACTAAATCTGTAGGATCTTAAGCAACATCAACCAAAGTAGCCGGCTCTTTGACGTGATTAATTGGAACTTTCTAAAGAATTTACACTAAATTATATTGCGAAGTTTCCATCTATAAAAAAATATAACTTAGTACTCACTGCAGTGAGTGACAGAGAGCGCATTTTCTCGTCGACGAAAACTTGAGGTCGCGGACGGACGGACAGACAGACAGGCAGACGGACATGGCGAGCACAATAGTGCATTTTCCATAAATGAGAAAATGCGCTAAAAAGGTAACTTGAAACTCACCCAACCTATCATTCGGATCAAGAAATAGATCACTTCACAAACCCCCACTATCTAAGAAGAAACTGACTACACAATAGCCTACTTATCACGCGCTCTTAGAAAAACTGTTTTGTCCAGACAAGCAGAATTTACATTTAGTGTCAGAAGACCCAAGATCCAACACTCAGAGACCCAATTCTTGCTAATAACACGTTCATGATTAATTTTTTCCTACATTGCAGACTGGAGCAATTTGTGCTGGTGCAATTGGTGCAGAGAATCAATTCCCAACACCAAGCAATTCTATTGTTATAATCGGGTAATTGCTACACTTCATCATGGAATGGTCAGTATATGAATAGAACTTGTACACCATTCCTGCAAATTCTTTATTATGCAAAGCGATGCCAGCATTTTGATAAGGAGGCTTGGGAGCAGATGTGTTAGGTTTAATAGTAATCGAATCTGGCCTAGATTTTTCTTTGAAAATCAAATTTCCAAAAATTTCGAGGTAATTGTAAAAAAATTAACTCGCAAGAGGGAAAATTTTTGAACTTGCGTAAAAATTCCTTAATGACATGGGTTGGGAAATTTGCCGAACATGAGGACAGAAAACATAACATTCCCGCTTCGTTCCAACAAATCGCAGCCTCACTGTTTCAGGTCGCTAAGAGTGTTTTTTAGAGCATTGCTTCACGCTCAGTCAGGACTGACGTTCGTATCCATCAGCTGCCGCGAATGTTGCTTACAGGGAAAACTTAAGCGGTAAGTAATTTGCAGCTTCTGTTTCCTAAACAATTTACCTGTGGCGGCGTGAATGTTTATAATCAACCTCATTGTAAGAGTGAGTTATGAGGTAGCTCGATTAGATAAGATACAGTAATTTTAGTTTCATCATTAGTTTCAGGCGCCAGCCTGAGCAGGTAACCAGCGCGCTGGTAACCTGCTTTCACTGTGTGCGCAGTGCGCACCCAAATGCCATAGCCGCGGCAAAGAGGGCGTTGAGCTGTTCAAGCCGGTCCCAGTGAAAATTTACAGACGTAGCAGCTTCTGATTTGGACTACCAGATGCTGGGGCGACTCTAAATTTTGTTACCCAGTGAAAATTTACAGACGCGGCAGCTTCTGATTTGGATTACCAGATGCTGGGGCGACTCTAAATTTTGTTAGGGGTGATGCTCTGTGAGGGCTGCGTGGCCGCAGGACAGAGTGCAACTACTTGGCAGCTAATTAGTGCTGCCTAGTCTGACGGTGCCATTTCTACTGTAGACATTTCTGTTCTATCGCACATCTGTCGGCTGCGACTGCCAGTTCTATTGCCGGCCATAAAATTAACTGTATATAGATGAAGATAGAACATTTTTTATGAACAAGATAGAACAAAATTTTAATGATAGAACAAATTCTACATAATTGTTTGTAACAAACAATTATATAAAACCAACAGTTACTATTCGGGAAATATTTCAGAAATAATTTTTTCAGTTTCTTGGACATTGTTCCTAACGAGCTCAAAATCAGATAATTATTATAGATAATTTTCCCTCTATCAACATATCAGTAACAGATTGTGAATATCGTGATGGTCTCGTTTTGGGCTTCCATCAGGTGGTTCTTTGGTCCACCAGACTGAAGGTGGCACGTGAGACGTCGGCTTAATGTCGTAGTTGTGAGCCCGATGTAGTCCATATTAGGGAGAAGTCTACAACCTTCTCTATTGCAAGAAAATTTATAGACTACATTGGTCTCTTGAAAAACTGACGTTTTTTGCTAGGGTTTATGTTCATTACAAGATTCTGTATTTTCTTATTTTTATAATAGATCAGTAGTTTAATTTTATTATCAATTTTGTTTTATTAGTTTGTTGTAGAAACTGTTTTGGTTCACTCAAAATTTTGAAATTTCTGTGTCGATTCTTCCATAGTTGAACCCATAATTGACTATTCTTTTGCAATTTCTCAGCTCCGTATACAAGTCATTTTCGGATGAGCAGTTTTTGAGGGCTCGTTGGATGAGAGCTCGTTGGATGAGGGCTCGTTGGATGAGAGCTCGTTGGATGAGAGCAGGAATTATGCTTCTTTTGTAGCCCTCTGAGCATTGGCTGGCGGTGTTGAGGACTCTGTCGATCCCGATATTTGTTTCCGCTCCGCTATATTTTGGTGACGAACTAATTATTTTTAGCTTGAACGAATATATCTAAAAAAAGGTTAAAAGTACGATTTCGTCTGAGTTCGTAAGTAAACTTCAATTCAGAATTAGTTTAAAAGGCCATTCGTATTTATAGGTGCCGCAGCGGTTTTTCATTTCGAACAACAACGAAGATATCATCGACATTCTTGCAGTATAATTCGGACTTGATTTGTTCATCTAAAAGTACTTGATATTCAATTTCGAACATACGTATAGTCCCTCAGCAAAATTTCTTCAGATAAAAAGACGTTATTCATGCCCCGATGCGGGACGCACTGTTCTTATCCTCTTGCAATCTTATCTTATCCTCTCAACGCTACAGTTCTTATCCTCTTGCAATCTTAGCTTATCCTCTCACCGCTACAGTTCTTATCCTCTTGCAATCTTATCTTATCCTCTCAACGCTACAGTTCTTATACTATTGCAATCTTATCTTATCCTCTCAACGCTACAGTTCTTATCCTCTTGCAATCTTATCTTATCCTCTCAATGCTACAGTTCTTATACTATTGCAATTGCAAATCGATTGGTTTTTACGTTATTTCTGTCGTTCTCTCGTTACTTCGATTTTAATCTTTCTCGTGTACATTTAAATTTTCATTGCTGCTGATCTTACTTGCACTGTTATTATATGAAACTGTTTGAACTGATGTCGGAGCTGCATGGTCTCTGTAACGTTTTCGGTGATTATGTGGTGAATTTTATTTGTGTTTTCTTTGTTTTTAATTTTTAATTATCGAGTAATGTGTTCTTATTGTAAATAAATATGTTGACAAATTATTTACATTGTTTCTCTTCCACGAGGGTGACAACTTCTTGCTAGGTCTGAAAAAAGATGATGACAGTCGTCACGGCCTTCCATTTCTTGCCATGGCTCTATTTCCTTGTAATCAGTCTTGTAGCACAAGTTTACTACTATGTTATATAAATTGTAGCCTGGAAGCATCTGACAATGACAACAGTTAGGTCAACAAAGGCATCTCGTTAACCACTAGTTTTATTGTCACTAGATTACTTTAATCGCAAATGCACTAAAAATTTAAAAGCGAAGAAAACTCCACGAAAATTTATCGTATCTCTATTGAGAATATTTCGGAGTCCAGCTCCATCTTCAGTTCGAAAAATCTAGAAAACAAATACAATCAGAAGTTAATAGAGTCGAAATTCAAAAGAAAAAATATAGAAATTAAAACCTGAATTTAGCTTAACAGAAACCTAAAAATTAAAAATTAAGAACTTATCTATTCACAAGTCCTAGTGGATAAGAACTAAAGGCTGCATTTAAACTAGGCCTATCTTTGAAAATATACAATGACTCTAAAATACGCAGATCGGAAGTTCCAGAACTAAAAGTTAAAACCTTAAAGTCACTGTCGGACACTGGAACGTTTGGCGTGAGTGCGCACAGCCGAATATGGACGCGATAGTAACTGCCCAGCAGTCCTGTACTTCTCCCTTTATGCTCGGCGACCCTTGAATAATGATAGCGTGACGTCATACCAACGTACGCAGATGCACATCGCGCACAACTATATCTATAAATTAAGAACGATCGCATATGAAAAGGAAGGATATCTTTGTACCGAAAGAAAGAATATATTTTAAAATGTTCACCAATAAAATATGAACATTAACGTTTGGGAAGTATTTTATAAAAAAATCTTTCAATTCTCTTTGCATAGCCTCGGACGCATGGCCGAATTATGGAAAAAACAAACTACTCTTTATCTCTATATCAAATCATTCCTCGTTCATCAATATTTAGGCTAATTGTGGAATTATTTCCTTGTTTGGTAAATGACCATAAGGCAATTTGAGAGGAATTGGCGGTCTTTGCGTCAAATATGTTATGTTACAAAAATCATAAAGGGATAACACAAGCTTATCACAATGAAACATATAACTTGATCGAAATGACGTGATATGCCTTGAAAATAATTTCCTAATAGTGTTTATCTACAATACTTCATACTAATAAAGAGACCGACACGTATTGACTTCTGTTACATTTTTTTTAATTTTCCTGCGATTCACGTTGAATATCAGCATAACACTCATCGGTCGAAGTCATTGTTCTCGTCTAATAGAAAATCATGTCGATCTTAACAGCCCGGGCAACGAGAGGCTGTACTGCGATGCAGAGACCTGCGAAAATCGTACCGATGCCCATAATCACGAAAGTCAGAAGGTAACTGCCAGTTACATCCACGAAATAACCTGAAAATAGTAAGAATTAATAAATTTCCTCGAAGTGCTGCCGAATCTCATGTATGGGAATGTATGAAAAAGATGTTTGTAACATGAGAAATTCTATATACAAGTTTGCTCTAGTATCAAACTGACAATTGGATATGCCAGGTAACACGAAATCAAAGACATTTCAACCGTCAATTAAGCTATTTACCAACAAAATGACTGGCATTAATAAATTATTTAAGGGAACAATAGCCTGACGTTGCTCAAGTTCACGGAACGAATTTTGAATTTTGAGATTAAATCTTTGTTACATACCAAGTAGTGGAGGGTACGTGAAGTTCAGGATTCCTTGGATCATACGAATGAATCCCCAAGAGGACGCCACGTTGTGTGCTCCGAACTGATCGATGAGAATAACATTGATGGTACCGAAGTAGCCGGAGCTTCCGAGCGAGAAAAGGCTAAAGATGAACATCACCACCCAGAAGTTGGTTGACGCTGGGATCATTACAGTTCCAATGCCGGCCACAACCAGGCTGTGGTTGAGAAAGTGGTAAGCTAAGTGTGAAATGAGTGGAAGAGATAGCAACGCATTCAAATTGCTCGCATGAATTTTCATGAACAAAAGAACAATGAAATTTATCTAGAAACTAACTAATGGTTGTTTGATTAGATTCATTGGATTAGATTAGATGACCGAGAGGGTCTTTATGTTCAAGCTCAAAATGTTGCAAACTAAGACGGAAGTTATTGAGGACTTCCCTATTAAGCATTTATCAAAGTGAATAATGGCAATAAAAACTTCTCATGTCAATTTGCATGATTCAAACAAAAGCATTCGGCTGTTCCTCACCACACTGCGAGGCAGTGCGTCTTCTTGAATAGTTTTCTGTCAAGCATGTAGCCGAGCAAGAGGCGAGTGACGCCGTCCAGCACCGATTGGTACGCGAGCAAAATAGAGTTTTGTTCAAGTGAGAATCCGATGGCCTTGCCGTAAGCGGCCAAGAAATAATGAGCGTGTGGAAGAGCAGCTGACAATCCGGCTATCGTGCCAATATGCGTCAAATAAATGGGGTTTAAGAAAAGCTTCAGGTCAAATTTTTTTGCCTTCATTTTAGTTTCTTGTGGTGGTTCATTATCGTTTATGGCTGTTACACAATTTGAAGCGCTTTGCTTTCTCTTTTCTCTGCGTGACTTTTGGACTTCAGCCATTTTTACATGAACTGAAAATGGTCTTATCAGGAATACAAACGCGGCAAGTTGTGCGAACAATGCTGATAAGATAATGAAGGTGAGTTTAAGTCCGAAATTTTCGAATATGGGCAGGAAGAAGAACGGAAAGACAGCACCCCCGAGCGGGTGGCCTGCTACGCGGATGGAATTTGCGAGTTCCTTTTTGTTGCGGAAATAGTCCGGCATTACTATAATCTGGCCGATACCCACTGCACACATGCCCGTGCCTGGAAAAGGAGGTAGAAGTTATGCATTCCATTTCACTTCTTACGGCCAGTACCGTAACTCTTGATAGCCACTAACCCATGTATTTCAAAATGGGCACATTTATTTACAAACTGCAGCAATGGCATTCGGGGCTCCAATTTATTCAAATTTAGAACATGATTAATTTAAATTGTTAATTCTTTTGTTACCTAATTATTAAACATTGGAATATAATTTGAGAAATATTAATTACCCATCATGGCCCCCAGCGTTATGGCGAGGGTGGCGACGGAGTCACAGAAGAAGGAAGCAAACAGGCCGCCGGAGCAAAGGACAATCCCGAAGATCATGACCGGTCTCGCCCCGAATTGGACCGCGGCCGCCCCCGCCACGGGTGCTGGTATTAAAACAAATTCATCTTTTATAATCTGATATTATAAACATTACTGAACATTTGAACGCATATCTTAATACTCTTCATGATTTTAAGCTCACCTCCAAAATATCTTCAATCATCACCCGTAGTATATGGGAATTTTCACTCAATCGTCTTTCAAAGTAGTCAGGTTATTGAAAATATATACTCATTATTTGTTAAATTACAAAATGGTTCAGGCGGCAATATGTGAATATTGCCGGCAATATGTGAATGAATATTCAAAAACTGGTGCCACGTTTTGACAAGTGCCTCAATATTCACGGAAATTAGGTAGGAATGTAGAAAGGTACAGACTTTCACGTAAAAATAAAATGATTGCGATGTCTTTGCACGTCTTTTTTTTAATTTCAAAACGGTACTGACTTGAAAAACATGCCTCATATATCATGGTCACATTTAAGTCCTTGTTAGAGAAATACAACATTTTTGTCGCATTTTCGAGGAATTAACCTATCTGTAATTTAAGTGTCGCACCTAAAAAGTTCCTACATCCAGAGAGAAGAGCGACCACGACACCTCCTGCAGTGGCAGACGTGTCGGGGTAGGCGATCTCGACGGCGTTGTAGATGACGCCGAAGCTCTTGATGTACCCGGCGGTGACGACGTTCGACAGGAACATCACAGCCACCACCAGCCATGCGTACCTGACCATCAACGTAAGCTGTATTTATGAGCTATTTATTCGTGACCCGGCGGTGACGACGTTCGACAGGAACATCACAGCCACCACCAGCCATGCGTACCTGACCATCAACGTAAGCTGTATTTATGAGCTATTTATTCGTGACCCGGCGGTGACGACGTTCGACAGGAACATCACAGCCACCACCAGCCATGCGTACCTGACCATCAACGTAAGCTGTATTTATGAGCTATTTATTCGTGACCCGGCGGTGACGACGTTCGACAGGAACATCACAGCCACCACCAGCCATGCGTACCTGACCATCAACGTAAGCTGTATTTATGAGCTATTTATTCGTGACCCGGCGGTGACGACGTTCGACAGGAACATCACAGCCACCACCAGCCATGCGTACCTGACCATCAACGTAAGCTGTATTTATGAGCTATTTATTCGTGACCCGGCGGTGACGACGTTCGACAGGAACATCACAGCCACCACCAGCCATGCGTACCTGACCATCAACGTAAGCTGTATTTATGAGCTATTTATTCGTGACCCGGCGGTGACGACGTTCGACAGGAACATCACAGCCACCACCAGCCATGCGTACCTGACCATCAACGTAAGCTGTATTTATGAGCTATTTATTCGTGACCCGGCGGTGACGACGTTCGACAGGAACATCACAGCCACCACCAGCCATGCGTACCTGACCATCAACGTANGCGAGCCACATGTTGGGCATGTTATATGAACATGAATGGTGTGACATGCTGTGCCAGCCACATGTTGTGCATGTTATATGAACATGAATGGTGCGACATGCCGTGCGAGCCACATGTTGGGCATGTTATATGAACATGAATGGTGTGACATGCTGTGCCAGCCACATGTTGTGCATGTTATATGAACATGAATGGTGCGACATGCCGTGCGAGCCACATGTTGGGCATGTTATATGAACATGAATGGTGTGACATGCTGTGCCAGCCACATGTTGTGCATGTTATATGAACATGAATGGTGCGACATGCCGTGCGAGCCACATGTTGGGCATGTTATATGAACATGAATGGTGCGACATGCCGTGCCAGCCACATGTTGGGCATGTTATATGAACATGAATGGTGTGACATGCTGTGCCAGCCACATGTTGTGCATTTTATATGAACATGAATGATGTGACATGCTGTGCGAGCCCCATGTTGGGCATGTTATACGAGCTTGAGTGGAATGATATACGCTCATAAAACGTATAGCACAAACACGCCCGATCATATAACGACCGCCCGCGGAGGTTTAATGGGTTGAGTGAATCTACTTAAACCATTTCAGAGCCAAGTGATGAAATGCCAAGTGATGCGTGATGAAGCAGATTCAGTTAGTGTGACACACACTAAGAGGTACGAATACAGAATGAAATGGTATGAAATACATGGATGAAATAAATTTGAGAATATTCCAATTCGAGATGTGTCTTGTTTGCCTTTAATGTTGCATGCTACCTCATAATGCAAGTTAAATTTTTCACGAACGTGCATAGCTCTGGAAATTATTTGTTCAAGCAATTGGAAATATGATCAGTACTTCAGTAGCGAGGAAAGCAAGTAAAAATAGGGTCATTCAATTGAGGTGAATTAATTTTCAATATTCTTTATAAGGAAAATGCAAATATACAACAAAACGCTACCAGTAAAACTAATTATGGACTCTTCTTTATCTGTTATTGATGAAGAATCCGGAAAATTTTCACTTTAAATCAGGTACTAAGGCCAATTAAGGTAGTTAATAATATAATTGTCAGATCTGGCACCGTTATTACTTTTACCGCGGTTAGCCGCTTTGATGACGCGGTTAATTAGAGGGAGCAATTGTGTTGGATAATTCAATGCCAGTAACAAGCTGGATGACACATCAATTACTTGACACATATAATCATGGTGGAAACGAATGGGCCCACTTTTGGTTAAGTATTCCTTCACTGTATTCACTGTGGCATACATTTCGTGAATGAAATGGATGCATTCAATTCTCAATGGAGCGATGATTCTTTCGCCATAAATTAGTTTTTGTATATATCAAGCGTTATTATATTCATTTCACTTGTCATGCTTCAAAACAAAGGAGCATTCTCTCTACTGAGGTATGTGTGTTCAAATGATTCAACAGAAATATCTATACAAGGGAGAACTATATCATCCTGACACGTGGAACATGATCAGTTGCGTTTGCCTAGACTAAACAGATGGCTGACATAAATCACCTAAAATGACGAGATGAACATACGATGAACACAATTAAAAATTACTTGAAACCGAAATTGCCAATGGCAGATATATCTAATACTTGGCTTGGAGCTAGAAATTTTAACCTTCGATTTATTGTGAATAATCGCAGTAATACTGTGTCTTGTAACACATTATTGCCAGTGAGCAAGTACCAAAGAACTGCCGCTTGCACTGACATAAAGATTATGATCTTATGAGTCACACGTTTCATATCAAAAGACTTCGCTTTAATTAGGTCGTTTTTTCACTCTGAATGAGCTGTATCCCTAAACTAATTATCTTTAGATAAACATACACTTCATGCACTTCACACTCTTCATGTCTTTCACACGCCTCTGAATAATATTTAGCATCATAGAACTGAACACTCGAAAAATGTGACATCCAAGTATGCGTATGGCAACACCAATAAGCAACTTTTTCCGCTAAGGGTTGAAAGCTGGAAAATATCGCTGAATTTATTCATGACATATTAATTGCATTAATTAAAACGTACTATAATTATGAGGGCAGTCGTCTCTTAATTAACGACCAGTCATTCAGATGACTTTCACTATGACGCTTGATGACACATGTGTTATTTAATCAAACGATAGCAGCTCAGAGTTTCCTTCCGGCGTCAAGTCCATTTAAGGTTTGCGTTGCGTTGGGTTTAGGTTCACGGCGTTGCGGTTCCTTCCCAGTCTTCAATACATGCTGTATTGTGCACAATTTTTCCCAGCTCATCGTCAAACAAAAATTAAAGGACGCTGCGGTAAGTCGTCAAACCCGGTTCCACTTCAGAAATAAAATTTTTCTGTTATGAATATTACAATTCATGATAGTTATTGGAGCTGATTGATAGTTGATGGATTATTAGCTATAATACTAAGCGTTTCAACTCACAGAAAACACGAAAAACGTGTATCAATGCACATTTTTCCCTCGACACGAAATTTGCTACACCAGTGAGTATAGCAAAGTAATAATTATTACTCACTATTATTACTTACTAAGTAATAGTAATACTTAATAATATTATTATTACCTATTAATTAAGAGTAAGTTATAATAAAATAATAACTTTTTACCAATTTCAAAAACAACATTTTTATAACGCTCAAGAAAGTAGGAAAAGATTGCTGAACAAATCGGAGCATTGGTCAAAATATTTGCGAACGTGATGCAACACGATGAGAACACGACACTACACGGTGCAGTAAACAGACTACAGAGAAAGGAAACTATTATTCATTACTTTTTATATGAGAGTTCAGTAGACAGCATTATTCTTAAATTCGATATTTGATCCATACATTTGCCAGACCACATATTCGAGACTCTCAAGTTTTCAAGTCAGAGCAATGCCAACAAATATATACATATATCTGAGCAGAGGGGTCGCGAAAATAAACGAAAAATCGGATAGATTCTTACAATTAAGATGAATGAAGTCATACGTCCTGCCATCTCAGAATTGAAGTATTAAATCTGAAGCTAATATTCAACAATATAAACTGAAACAATAAACTGAAATAGAACAATAAACTGAAAAGTTTCGTTTAAGCAACACATTCTAAGAAACTGCAGAATCGGGCCTGTTCGTATCCCCTTCTCTAAAACGAATGACTACGAGAGAGCAGTGAACAGTAAGCAGTTGGTTCACTGCCTTCAACAATGTTAGCTAAAAATTGAAAGCAACTTACTTATTAACTACGAACTCTTGAGCGGATTTCAGCAATTATGTTTAACAGCTAGTGTAACCATATAGATGTACTGGAGGTTTACAGAGTGCAGAATGTTATATTTAGAATAATTTGTTGCAGAATAAAGAATTTGGCTGAACAATATTAAACTTCGATTATTCCGATCACGTAGCTTCCAACAAAAAACTTCAGCCTTATAATTTTACGAGCTCGCGCACTGACTGCACTTCGAGATGCAAATCTGACGAGTTTCGTTAAGAAAAAATTCATCGTCAATGGAAAGGGATCTAGTGTGAAAATTTCCAATGTAAAGTCACGTACAGTTTGTATGGATTATAACTTATATCATAAATTCGTCTTGCAGGGATAGTATTACTACCCTAATCACTAAGCCCTTTAAAACTTTGTTATACGCATAATTTGTACTCAAAATGATCTCTTCCTGAATAAATACTCTAGCCGTTAGTTAGCAAAGGCCCTCTTAGTGAGCACGTTCTAAACCTGCTCACTGGCGAAGTCTTCACATGAGCACGCCTATTTCTCGCCAATTCGCAGTGCCTTCCACAGCCATAAGTGGGAATCCTGCACTATCGCAGTACAACTTGCCAGTGCAAATACGATCGAGGTCGTGCTGTATGCGCCCGCAGCCAGCCGCACAATAGAACTGCGGAACCCATGCATACGTACTGACGTGCAGAGGTGGGCAGTAGCGCGCTACATTTTCAGTAGCGGTAGCGGCGCTACATTTAAGCAATTGTAGCGGTAGCGGTAGCGCCCGCTACATATTTAAGTAGTGATACGAGGTTTTGCCGCTACATTTATATGTAGATAAGGCCTTTAGATTTTACTTAATAGTATTAAATCTTATTTAAAAACCAGCATGATACATGCATAATATAAATTACAGAATAAAACTGTACGAAAGATTTCGGTGTAATGTTGTCAACCTCAGCCTGTTACTAGTGTCAACATGTTACTTGTTACCAGTGGTGGGCAGATAGAGCGCTACATGTAGCGGTGGTGGTAGCGGCGCTACATTTAAGCTATTGTAGCGGTAGCGGTAGCGCCCGCTACATATAGAGCGTATAGCGGTAGCGGCCGCTACATTTCAAAGTAGCGCTGCCCAGCTCTGTTGACGTGGTCTGGCAGCGCAATGACCGCAGAGCTTGGTCTGTTCTCCGCTAATATTGACTCCGCTCACTATTAAAGTTGACAGCAATTTAAAGCGTGGTGTCAGAAATATCTGGACCAATAGAAGAATAGTTTTCATAAATAACCCTAAGTGCACGTTCAAAAGATTATTTCGCAAATATGGTCAAAATTGTGAGACAATAGGGCACCATAGTTCCATATTCATCCTTTTTTGCTTCTCTTTTGTTTACTGGTAGCTTTGACATGAAATATTGTTTTCTTCTCATAAACAATTTGGAACAACGAAAATTCAAACGATTCTCTATACAGGAAAGCATGAACTTTTTTAGAAAAGCGGTCCCGCGGTAGGTATACGGCCCAACTATAGGATCCGGCCCAGCTATAGGATCAGGTATACGGCCCAGCTATAGGATTCGGCCCAGCTATAGGATCAGGTATACGGCCCAGCTATAGGATTCGGCCCAACTATAGGATCAGGTATACGGCCCAGCTATAGGATCCGCGAGCAAGGACAACGTACGTAAGTGATTTCCGTGTTTGAACTTTACCGGAAAATGCCAGCAAGCGGCAAACCAAAGATC